CTGACCATTTATAAGAAAATATTTACTGAATAATGGCAACATATGTCTCCAGACGATTTTGCAATGAATACGTGCTAACAATATTCCACCGTACAAACTCATCCCTGAGTCAGAAACTGTCCAGCCTGCTAAAAATTCTCTGACCACTTCTACAGATTTGCAATCCTTTGCAAGGCTTCTTATATAACATATTAGACCTTTGATGGCCAACTATAGAATATAACAACCAGATCTTTTAAATATCACATTTTAGGCTTTTTTTAATATAACACATTACAACAAACCTATCCTTCTCTTCACCTGGGTCAGGCATTATCCAGGCTGCTAAGAATTTTCTGACCATTTCTGAAGATTTTCATTACACATTAAGGCTTCCTATTTAACTACATAGACCTGTACTGGCCAATTAAAGAACAAAATTATTGGAGCTTTTCCATATCACTCTTTAAGGTCTCTTTTATAATACATTAGATTTCTGTGGGCTGATTTACTAAAAGTGAAGAGTGCAAGATCTGATGCAGCTGTGCATAGAAATCAAACATCTTCCAGGTTTTATTGCCAAAGTTTAAATGAACAAGCTGAAGTCAAAAGCTGATTGGCTCCCATGTGCAATTACACCAGATTTTGCACTCTCCAGTTTTAGTAAATCAACCTCATACTGTATAAAGGCTATAATTATAGATCATTTCCATAGTACTCTTTAAGGCTTCCTGTACAATATATCTTATCTTTATACTGGCTAGTTGTGGTACATAATAATCAGATATTTTCCATATCACTCTTTAAGGCAGTGGTTCTCAACCTTCCTAATGCTGTGACCCTTTAATACAGTTCCTCATGTTGTGGTGACCCCCAACCATAAAATTATTTACTAAGTAATTATAATTCATGAGTGTCGTTTTACCTCCAATACTGCTGCTTTCAACACAGTAGCTGCTTTTAACAGAGTACCTGCTTTCAACACAGCAGCTGCTTTCTACTCAGTAGCTGCTCTTTACACATCGGAAATATGTGTTTTCTGATGGTCTTAGGGGACCCCTGTGAAAGGGTCGTTCGACCCCCAAAGGGGTCGTGACCCACAGGTTGAGAACCACTGCTTTAAGGTTTCTTATATAATACATTTGACTTCTAGGGGTTGATTTACTAAAAGTGAAGATTGCAAAATCTGATGCAGCTGTGCATAGAAACCAATCAGCTTCCAGGTTTTATTGGCAAACCTTATATAAACAAGCTGAAGTTAGAAGCTGATTGGCTGCCATGCACAGCTGCACCTGATTTCGCACACTCCAGTCTTAGTAAATCATCCTCATACTGTATAATGGCTATAATTATAGATCTTTTCCACAGCACTCTTTAAGGCTTCCTGTATATTATATCTTTATACTGGCTAGTTGTAGAACATAATAATCAGATATTTTCCATATCACTCTTTGAAGCTTCTTTTATAAAATAATAGACCTATTTATGGCCAATGATAGAGCATAATTATTAGATATTTTCCATATCGCTCTGTAAAGCTTCATAGATAACATATAAGACCAGTATACTGGCCAATTATAGAGCCTAATGATTAAATATTTTCCATATCATTCTGTAAGGTTTCATATATAACATATAAGACCTGTATACTGACCAATTATAGAGTCTAATTATTAGATATTTTCCATATCATTCTGTAAGGCTTCCTATATAACATATAAGACCTGAATATTGACCAATTATAGAGCCTAATGATTTGATATTTTCCATATAGTTCTGTAAGGCTTCCTATATAACATATAATAAGACCTATATACTGACCAATTATAGAATCTAATGATTTGATATTTTCCATATAGTTCTGTAAGGCTTCCTATATAAAATATAATAAGACCTATATACTGACCAATTATAGAGTCTAATTATTTGATATTTTCCATATAGTTCTGTAAGGCTTCCTATATAACATATAAGACCTGTATACTGACCAATTATAGAGCCTAATGATTAGATATTTTCCATATCATTCTGTAAGGCTTCATATATAACATATAAGACCTGAATATTGACCAATTATAGAGTCTAATGATTAGATATTTTCCATATCACTCTGTTAGGATTCCTATATAACATATAATAAGACCTATATACTGACCAGTTATAGAGTCTAATTATTAGATATTTTCCATATCGCTTTGTAAGGATTCCTATATAGCATATAAGACCTGTATACTGACCAGTGATAGAGCCTATTAGATATTTTCCATATCACTTTGTAAGGATTCCTATATAGCATATAATAAGACCTGTATACTGACCAATTATAGAGCCTAATTATTAGATATTTTCCATATCACTCTGTAAGGCTTCCTATATAACATATAAGACCTGAATATTGACCAATTACAGAACCTAATGATTAGATATTTTCCATATCGCTCTGTAAGGATTCCTATATAACATATAAGACCTGTATACTGACCAATTATAGAGCCTAATGATTAGATATTTTCCATATCACTCTGTAAGGCTTCTTATATATCATATTAGACTTATATACTGACCAATTATTGAACACAATAAGCACATCTTCTCTATATGGGATGTAACACTATATACTGTAGGTGTATTCACAGACTTAGTTAATAAAACAATGCAGAGAGTAGTAACCCACATCACCCAATCCATCATCTTAGAGCAAAGAGAACAATGAAAGCCAACATTTGATTGGCTGGTGTGGCTTCCTTTGCACATTGTCCTTTGCCTAATAAAATCTGTTTGTCTTTTCTATAGAAAACTATTTAGCTACAACATTTGCCCATCCCACTGAAAAAAAATTGGGATCTGATGCCAGTTTGTGACTCTCCCAGCTTTGATGTCCTGGAATGAGCTGTTATCTGTTGTGCAATCAGTGCCAGTTCCCTCCTTCCTTTCCAAATGGCAGTTTATATAATATTTACCGGGGAGTTGACGTTGGATTTCTCAGTTTGGTTAACAAAGTATCATTTTTATCAATAAATATGTACATGTTGAAAGCTGTGTAACATTTGACTGATACAACAGACAAGCAGGGATGCTGCTAGTGGTCAGTGATGATTGTGGAGTGTCACACCTGGCTACTATCTCTAAGTTGCAATGTATGGATGGGTATGGGTGGTATGGATGGGTATGGGTAGGTATGGGTGGTATGGATGGGTATGGATGGGTATGGGTGGGTATGGATGGGTATGGGTGGTATGGATGGGTATGGGTGGGTATGAATAGGTATGGGTGGTATGGATGGGTATTTAGTAGGTATGAGGGTGGGGTATGGATGGGTATGGGTAGGTATGGGTGGTGGATGGGTATGGGTAGGTATGGGTGGTATGGATGGGTATGGGTAGGTATGGGTAGGTATGGGTGGTATGGATGGGTATGGGTAGGTAGGGTATGGATGGGTAGGTATGGGTGGTATGGATGGTATGGGTCGGTATGGGTAGGTATGGGGGTATATGGGTATGGGTGGTATAGGGATGGGTATGGGTAGGTATGGATGGGTAGGTATGGGGGTATGGGTGGTATGGATGGGTAGGTATGGGTGGTATGGTGTGGTATGGTGGTATGGATGGGTATGGGTAGGTATGGGTGGTATGGATGGGTAGGTATGGGTGGTATGGATGGGTATGGGTGGTATGGATGGGTATGGGTAGGTATAGGTATGGAATGGGTATGGGTGGATGGTATGGATGGGTAGGTATGGGTGGTATATGGATGGGTAGGTATGGGTGGTGGGTATGGGTAGGTATGGGTGGTATGGATGGGTATGGGTAGGTATGGGGGTATGGGATTGGTGGATGGGTAATGGGTAGGTTTGGGTGGTATATGGGTGGTATGGATGGGTATGGGTGGTATGGATGGGTATGGGTATGGTATGGGTGGTATGGATGGGTATGGGTGGTATGGATGGGTAGGTATGGGTGGTATGGATGGGTATGAGTGGCAGTGCCCCTTACCTGTACCAGTCCAGTCCCCTCTCGTAGTTCCTGTCGAAGAAGTGGGGTTCAGTGCCCATGGCTCTCACCTCTGGGTGCACCCGAATAAATTCCAGCACTGCCCTGGTGCCACCTTTTTTAACCCCCACGATGATGGCCTGGGGGAGCCTCTTGTGCCCGTAGCGCAGGGCAGTGGTGCTGTTGGCAGGGGGGTGAGGATGGTGCTGGCTGGGTTTTGGAGGGGTGCCGGTTATCTGGGAGGGTTCCGTGTGGTTCCTGCCAGTCCAGTCGGTGTACGGTAGGTCGGTGGTGGGGGAGGTAGGTCCGGAGGGTTGGCAGAGGGGCATCTTCTGCAGGAGTTTCTTGCCCCCCAGGATCGGAGGGGAAGGTGGGCAGCTGAGATGCTGGTAGCCCCGGCTGTGCATGCTGGAGTGTCCCCGGAGGAGCAGGTTGTAGCAGAGGAGGGTGCAGGACAGGCAGAGGGTGCATAGGAAGAGGTATCTCCTGGCCCTTCGGGGGCTCACTCGGGGTGCCATGACTCCATGCACAGGGGCCACATCGTGGCCCCTCCGGGCTCCTGCATGTGTGACTGTCCCGGGGAAGCTGCAAGCAGAGCCCGGCACTGGTGGCTGGCACACCCCCTCCGTCTGTGATCAGCTGCTGGAGGAGGGAGGGAGGGCTCACCGGATCCCCCCACCTCCGGGCACACACACCGAGCTGGGCGCCCTGCCCTCACACCGACGGGACAAACCCCACATGTGCACCCGCCTGGTGCATCCGTACACTGAGCACCCCACATGTGTACCCGCCTGTGTATCCGTACACTGAGCACCCCACATGTGTACCCGCCTGGTGTATCCGTACACTGAGCACCCCACATGTGCGCCCCGCCTGTGTATCCGTACACGGAGCACCCCACATGTGCACCCGCCTGTGTATCCGTACACGGAGCACCCCACATGTGCACCCGCCTGTGTATCCGTACACGGAGCACCCCACATGTGCCCCGCCTGGTGTATCCGTACACTGAGCACACCCCACATGTGTACCCGCCTGTGTATCCGTACACTGAGCACCCCACATGTGCACCCGCCTGTGTATCCGTACACGGAGCACCCCACATGTGCGCCCCGCCTGGTGTATCCGTACACTGAGCACCCCACATGTGTACCCGCCTGTGTATCCGTACACTGAGCACCCCCACATGTGTACCCGCCTGTGTATCCGTACACGGAGCACCCCAAATATACAGAACACCTATTCGCATACAGAGCACCCCAAATATGTACCCTGCCTAGCACATCACAGAGAGTATCCAGATGTGTACCCCGCCTGGTATATCACATGGATCGGACTCCAAATCTGTACCCTGCCTGGTACATCACAGAGCGCACCCCGACCTGTGCCCTTCCTGGCACCTCACAGAGCGCCCCCCATCTGTACCCTGCCTGGCACATCACAGAGCGCACCCCAGATGTTTCCCCTGACTGGCACATCACAGAGCCACCCCAGATCTGTACCCTGCCTGGCACATCACAGAGCCCACCCCAGATCTGTACCCTGCCTGGCACATCACAGAGCGCACCCCAGATCTTTCCCCCTGACCACATCACAGAGCCCACCCCAGATCTGTACCCTGCCTGGCACATCACAGAGCGCACCCCAGATCCGTACCCTGCCTGGCACGTCAAATAGCGCACCCCAGGTCTGTACCCTGCCTGGCACGTCACAGAGCGCACCCCAGATCTGTACCTTGCCTGGCATATCACAGAGCGCACCCCAGATCAGTACCCTGCCTGGCACAACACAGAGCGCACCCCAGATCTGTACCCTGCGGACCCCAGACCTTTGTCCTGCCTGATGTATCTCACAGAGCGGACCCTGAACCTGTGTCCAGCCTGGTATATCACAGGGCAGACCTCAGAAATGTCTCTGACTGGTATTTCACATTGGGGACAACCAATCTGTCACCTGATAGATCCCAGATCTGTCACCTGTCTAGTTCATATAGGGGACCCCAGATCTGTCACCTGTCTAGTACATCATATAGGGGACCCCAGATCTGTCACCTGTCTAGTACATCATATAGGGGACCCCAGATCTGTCACCTGTCTAGTACATCATATAGGGGACCCCAGATCTGTCACCTGTCTAGTACATATAGGGGACCCCAGATCTGTCACCTGTCTAGTACATCATATAGGGGACCCCAGATCTGTCACCTGTCTAGTACATCATATAGGGGACCCCAGATCTGTCACCTGTCTAGTACATCATATAGGGGACCCCAGATCTGTCACCTGTCTAGTACATATAGGGGACCCCAGATCTGTCACCTGTCTAGTACATCATATAGGGGACCCCAGATCTGTCACCTGTCTAGTACATATAAGGGACCCCAGATCTGTCACCTGTCTAGTACATATAGGGGACCCCATATCTGTCACCTGTCTAGTACATATAGGGACCCCAGATCTGTTACCTGTCTAGTACATCATATAGGGGACCCCAGATCTGTCACCTGTCTAGTACATATAAGGGACCCCAGATCTGTCACCTGTCTAGTACATCATATAGGGGACCCCAGATCTGTCCACCTGTCCTAGTACATCATATAGGGGACCCCAGATCTGTCACCTGTCTAGTACATCATATAGGGGACCCCAGATCTGTCACCTGTCTAGTACATATAAGGGACCCCAGATCTGTCACCTGTCTAGTACATATAGCGGACCCCAGATCTGTTACCTGTCTAGTACATATAGGGGACCCCAGATCACCTGCCTGGAATTTCCACAAAGCCTGGCACATCACAGAGCGGACACCAGATCTATCCCCTGCCCGGCACATCACAGAGCGGACACCAGATCTATCCCCTGCCCGGCACATCACAAAGCGGACACCAGATCTGTCCCCCGCCCGGCACATCACAGAGCGGACACCAGATCTATCCCCTGCCCGGCACATCACAGAGCGGACAACAGATCTGTCCCCCGCCCGGCACATCACAGAGCGGACACCAGATCTATCCCCTGCCTGATTTATTACACACAGCGCACCCAGATTTCCCTGCCTGGTAAACCACAGAACTGACCTCAGATCTCTCCCCTGCTCTGTCACCTACCTGGTAAGCAAATCAAAGAGAGGATCCAAAGGATCACTTCCTGATACATCACACTATGGCTGACCCAGATCTGTCCCTTCCCACACGAACTCCTGCCTGGTAAATCGCAAACAACTAACTGCCTGGCACATCACAGAGCGCAACTCAGATCTGTTCCCTGCCTAGCATGTCATGCAGAACGGATGTCCAGATCTATCACCCAGACCTGACATGTCACTCAACAAGGGTTACCCCAGATCTGTCACCTGCCTGGCATATCACACACAGCAGACCCGGATCTGTGCCCTGCTGGTCACATCACAGAGGGAGAGACCCCACAACCTGTGCTGATATGTGTGTCACAGAGGGGACCCCAGATCTGTCACCTGCTTGTCACATCACAGAGGGGACCCCAGATCTGTCACCTGCTTGTCACATCAGAGAGGTGACCCCAGATCTGTCACCAGCCTGTCACATCACAGAGGGGACCCCAGATCTGTCACCTGCCTGTCACATCACAGAGGGACCCCAGATCTGTCACCTGCCTGGCATATCACATACAGCAGACCCGGATCTGTGCCCTGCTGGTCACATCACAGAGGGAGAGACCCCACAACCTATGCTGATATGTGTGTCACAGAGGGGACCCCAGATCTGTCACCTGCTTGTCACATCACAGAGGGGACCCCAGATCTGTCACCTGCTTGTCACATCAGAGAGGTGACCCCAGATCTGTCACCTGCCTGTCACATTACAGTGGGGACCCCAGATCTGTCACCTGCCTGTCACATCACAGAGGGGACCCCAGATCTGTCACCTGCCTGTCACATCACAGAGGGGACCCCAGATCTGTCACCTTCCTATCACATCAGAGAGGGGACCCCATATCTGTCACCCGCCTGTCACATCACAGAGGGGACCCCAGATCTGTTCCCTGCCTAGCATGTCATGCAGAGCGGATGTCCAGACCCAACATATCACTCAAGGGTAACCCCAGATCTGTCACCTGCCTGGCATATCACACACAGCAGACCCGGATCTGTGCCCTGCTGGTTACATCACAGAGTGAGAGACCCCACAACCTATGCTGATATGTGTGTCACAGAGGGGACCCCAGATCTGTCACCTGCCTGGCATATCACAGAGGGGACCCCAGATCTGTCACCTGCCTGTCATATCACAGAGGGGACCCCAGCTCTGTCTGTCATATCACAGAGGGGACCCCAGATCTGTCACCTGCCTGTCATAGCACAGAGGGGACCCCAGATCTGTCACCTGCCTGGCATATCACAGAGGGGACCCCAGATCTGTCACCTGCCTGTCATATCACAGAGGGGACCCCAGCTCTGTCACCTGCCTGTCATATCACAGAGGGGACCCCAGATCTGTCACCTGCCTGTCATATCACAGAGGGGACCCCAGATCTGTCACCTGCCTGTCACATCACAGAGGTGACCCCAGATCTGTCACCAGCCTGTCACATCAGAGAGGGGACCCCATATCTGTCACCTGCCTGTCACATCACAGAGGGGACCCAAGATCTGTCACCTGCCTGTCATATCACAAGGGGGACCTGGATCTGTCCCTGTTTGGTACACTAAAGGGGGCCCAAATGTGTCACCTGTCTATCAAATTCTGTAGATGTCCCCATATACAGTCATGGCCGAAATTGTTGGCACCCTTGATATTTTTCCTGAAAATCAAGTATTTCACACAAAAAAGGTATTGCATTAACACATGTTTTGCTATACACATGTTTATTCCCTTTGTATGTATTGGAACAAATATAAAACAGAGGCAGAAAAGCAAATATGACATAATGTCACACAAAACCCCAAAAATGGGCTGGACAAAAGTATTGGCACCCTTAACTTAATATTTGGTTGCACACCCTTTGGAAAACATAACTGAAATCAGTCGCTTCCTATAACCATCAATAAGCTTCTGACACCTCTCACCCGGAATTTTGGACCACTCTTCCTTTGCAAACAGCTCCAGGTCTCTCTTATTGGAAGGACACCTTTTCCCAACAGCAATTTTAAGATCTCTCCACAGGTGTTCAATGGGATTTAGATCTGGGCTCATTGCTGGCCACTTCAGAACTCTCCAGCGCTTCTTTGCCATCCATTTCTGAGTGCTTTTTGACGTATGTTTGGGGTCATTGTCCTGCTGGAAGACCCAGGATCTTGGACGCAAACCCAGCTTTCTGACACTGGGCCCTACAGTGCGACCCAAAATCCTTTGGTAATCCTCAGATTTCATGATGCCTTGCACACAGTCAAGGCACCCAGTGCCAGAGGCAGCAAAACAACCCCAAAACATCATTGAACCTCCACCATATTTTACCGTAGGTACTGTGTTTTGTTCTTTGTAGGCCTCATTCCGTTTTCGGTAAACAGTAGAATGATGTGCTTTACCGAAAAGCTCTATCTTGGTCTCATCTGTCCACAAGACGTTTTCCCAGAAGGCTTTTGGCTTACTCAAGTACATTTTGGCAAACTGTAGTCTTGCTTTTTTATGTCTCTGTGTCAGCAGTGGGGTCCTCCTGGGTCTCCTGCCATAGCGTTTCATTTCATTTAAATGTCGACGGATAGTTCGCGCTGACACTGATGCTCCCTGAGCCTGCAGGACAGCTTGAATGTCTTTGGAACATGTTTGGGGCTGCTTATCCACCATCTGGACTATTCTGCGTTGCAATCTTTCATCAATTTTCCTCATCCGTCCACGACCAGGGAGATTAGCTACAGTGCCATGGGTTGCAAACTTCTTGATAATGTTGCGCACTGTGGACAAAGGCAAATCTAGTTCTCTGGAGATGGACTTGTAACCTTGAGATTGTTGATATTTTGCCACAATTTTGGTTCTCAGGTCCTCAGACAGTTCTCGTCTCCTCTTTCTGTTGTCCATGCTTAGTGTGGCACAGACAGACACACAATGCAAAGGTTAAGTGAACGTCTCTCCTTTTTATCTGCTTTCAGGTGTGATTTCTATATTGCCCACACCTGTTACTTGCCCCAGGTGAGTTTACAGGAGCATCACATGCTTGTAACATTCTTATTTATCCGCAGTTGTGAAAGGGTGCCAATACTTTTGTCCAGCCCATTTTTGGAGGTTTGTGTGACATTATGTCGAATTTGCTTTCTTTCCTCCCTTTTTTTGTTTTGTCCCAATACACACAAAGGGAATAAACATGTGTATAGCAAAACATGTGTTAATGCAATACGTTTCGTGAGAAATACATGATTTCCTGGAGAAATATCAAGGGTGCCAACAATTTCGGCCATGACTGTAAGTTGCCTGCCTGCCATATCTCACAGAGCTGACCTCAGATCCTATCCTGCCTGGCATACCACAGAGCCGACACAAGGTATGTCACCTGCCTGGCACATCACACAAGTTTCACTCCAGATCTATGTCCTGCCAGGCATGTTAGGCAGAGCTGTCCCAAGGTCTGTAATCTGACTGGCACATCACACAGAAATGACCTCAGATTTGTCACCTCCCTGGCACATGACACAGACCTGACCCCTAGGTCTGCCCCCTGCATGGCACATCACACACAGCTAACCCCAAAATCTGCCTTGTCTGGCACATCACACACAGCTGACCCCAGATTTGTGCCTCCTAGGCATTCAGCATTGTAATCCTAGAGAC